TGCGTGGGGGTGGCTGGGGGAGGGGGGAGAGCAGCAGGCGCCTGCGGGCGGGACCCCTCCCTCCTGCCTACCACCGCACACCAGCCCCACCCCCACACCCCGCCCCGCCTGCAGACTCTATCGAGGACAAGATCCTGGCGCTGCAGGAGCGCAAGCGCGGCGTGATTGCGGCGGCGTTTGGAGAGGACGGCGCGGGCGGCGGCGGCGGCTTCAACGCCCGCCTCACCGCCGACGACCTGCGCTACCTCTTCTCCTGACCGCCGCGGCGGCAGCTGGCGCACGCAGGCGTGGCCTTTCGGCAGCGCCAGCCAGGACCCTGCGTTCCCAGCCGCTGCTGCGACGAGGAGCACTCGAGCTAGAATAGAGCCGGATGGCGGCGGCAAGCGCCCTGCGGTGCGGCATTTTTGGTGCTGCACGACCAGCCGATCCTGGCCATTGCTGCCCTTCTCTCATTCTTTGATCCGTTCGCAGCTAGAGTGCTCCGTCACACTCGCAACTTAGGCACCGCACAGATTCCACTGCCCTTGTGTAAATCGTCAGCACAACTTGGCGGCACAGGTGGCGGCAGGCGGGTGGTGGCGATGGCAGCTTGATATGAGGGGAGCGATCGTCTGATGTCGATGTCAATTCAGGTTTTGCATGTTGCGATGAAGGTGTTTGGTAGCCGACAAACCTAGGGCCGCCTCGACTGCAGCGTTATCCAGGTTATCCCTTTGACTACGAGAGTGAACTGTACTCACTCTCGGCTGGTAGTCAAAGTGCTGCACGTTTACTGCACTCCGGTTGGCGCCTCAGCAACTGACCAATCGATCGGGGATAAAGCGATAAAGCGCGGCGGCCTCCAGGCGGAGGGCCCGGCTGTTGGCACCCCGGCTGCTGCCCCACTGCCCCGGCACACATTGGCGGCGGAGGCGGCGGGCGCCACGGCGGCGCTGGGCACTGCCAGGGTGTACTGGCAGGGAGCCCACGCCACTCACCTGGTGTCGGGCCGGCCGTTCCAGTCGCCGCTGGGCAAGCTGCACGCAGAGGGCCTGGCGCTGCTGGGTTCGGCTGGGTGGACGCGCGTGCCTGCCGCCGACCCACGTGTGCCCGGGTTCGCGCTGACCACCCGCAAAGGTGGGGCTGCCACGCCTGCTCCCTGCCTCCACACTGCCAGCATGTTGCCGCTCTGCCGCTGTTGCAGCTTGCAGCTGCTCCCCCTGATGCCTCCCGGGCCTCCCGCCCCGACCTGCCGCCCGCAGGCGCCGACTTCCCCGCCGCCGGCGCCGGCCTGCCTGCGGTGCGCCAGTTCCCGCAGCGCTGCACCGCGGTGCTGGATGACAAGCGGCTGCTGGCAGAGTGCCTGGAGGCAGAGGGCTGCCCCCACCTGGCGCCTCGCACCTGGCCAGATGCGGAGTCCTTCCTGCACCAGCACAGCGCCAGCACGACGGCACAAGCGCCAGCAGACTGGCAGCTAGCAGCGGGAGGCTCTCGGCGCGGCCTGTGGTTCCTGAAGCACCGCCACGGCGTCAAGGGCCAGGCAGTCCACCCATTCACCTCGCTGCCTCCCCTGCTGGAGCGGCTGCGCAGCCTGGGCGGCGGCGGCGGCGGTGGTGGCGGCAGGCAGCAGTGGGTGGTGCAGGAGGGCGTGTCGCCGCCGCTCCTGCTGCCTGACGGCCGTAAGTTCATGCTGAGGGCGCACGTTCTGCTGCTGCTGCTGGGCAGCTCCCGGCAGGAGCAGGCGCAGGGGCAGCCGCAGGCCCAACCTGCCGGGTTGGCGGGGGCGGCAGGCGCAGCAGGGCAGCTGGCGGCCTGGGTGCACCGAGATGTCATCGTCACGCCTCATGCCCGCCCGCTGTGCCAGCCAGCAGCAGGAGCAGGCGAAGCAGCAGCAGGCGCAGCGGACCCGGCAGTGCATGTGTCCTCCCGAGGCAGCAGCCACCCCCGCCCCTACCTGCTGTCCGAGCTGCGGCTGGGCGCGCAGCAGCAGCTGGATGCAGAGGGCCAGCGGGCTGGGCAGCAGCGAGGGCCAGGTGAGCCCTGGGAGACAGGCAGCGGCAGCCTGCAGCGGCAGCTGTGGCACCGAGTGTGCGAGATCAGCGCGGCCGCGGTGGCGGCGGCGGCGCGGCGGGGGCTGGTGCCTGGAGAAGCCGACCAGCGAGCCACGCTGTACCACCTCTTGGCCTTTGACTTTGGTGTGGCGGATGCGGCTGCTGCTCCGCCACCAGACCCTGCTGGCCAGCCCTCTGGGCAAGGGGCAGCAGCAGCCACGCCGGCGGCAGGGGCCGTGCAGCCGCCCCGGCAGCCCCAGGTGCTGCTGCTCGAGGCCAACAGCTACCCAGCAATCGCTAGCGGCACCATGGCGGCTGTGCCGCGCGCCGTGTACACCCGCCTGATGGCAGACCTGCTCAGCCTGGTGGTGCTGCCGGGACTGCGGCGGGCACAGGCGGCGGAGCAGACGGCGGCGGAGCAGGCGGCGGCAGAGCCAGAGGCGCCTCAAGAGGGCGGCTTCTGCCGGGTGCTGTGATGGAGTGTGGACCAAACCTCACAGCAGTGCGCAGCCCCTGTAACATTTCAACATGCTCCCGACCATCGAGGCTGACTGCTTCATTACAGGGCACGGGGCACTATCGCAACACAGCCTAGCGGCATAACGTGGGCGTGTAATGTGCCCAATGGCGTGCTGGCGGCTCGGGAATGCAGGGAATGCAGCAACGGGTGGGGGTTTGGGTGTTCAAGATGCGGGGGCCAAGACAGCTGCCGCAAGGGCTCGCTGCCGCACGTCCGCCAAGGGGGTGCGATTGGGGTGGGATGCGGATGCATGAAAGGGGGCATTGGATGACAGCAGGCACAGAGGCCACCAGGCAGGCGCGCGGGCAGGGGCGCGGCGACCGAAAACTTGCGCCTGGGAGGGTGCCCGCCCACCTCCCCGCCAGCGCTGGGCATGGGCACGGGCGGTGTGCCGCTCAGAGCGCCGCCTTGCTCTTCAGGTCCTCCTCCAGCTCATCCAGCAGATCTTCGTCGTCATCCTCGTCCTCATCCCCAAACAGCTCGTCCTGAAGGCAGGAGGAGAAGAAGGCACGAGGGAGGGTTACCGTTGCCGCAGCAAGGGTGTGCCACCCGTCGAGGGCATATCAAGCTGCTGTCCAGCCAGCCAGCACGCCAGGAGAGGCCACAGGCTCGCCACGCCGCGGCGCCATCGCAGCAGCCGCAGCCCCCTCACCGCTTCCTGCGCCGACAGGTGCAGCTTGGCGGCCACGTCGCCGCCGCCGCTGCTGCCGGCTTGCTGCGCGTCTGCCGCCGGGGCGCCGCCGCCTGCCGCTGCTGCCGGGGCCGCGGCCTCTGCGGCACTCGCTACTCGCGCTTGCTGCAGGCACACAGGCGGGGAGGGGCAGTACAGCAGTACACGTTCAAAAACAGACGGAGGCTTCGCCAGGCTGTCGCCACGCCGGCGCGCAGGGAGGCAAGCAGGCACAGCGGCGACCCAGCCTTGAGCACACCCTCCACCCCCATGCCACGCCACCCCACCTACCTGCATCGCCTCTTCCGCCTGCTGCTGCATGCGCTTGATGGCTGCCTCCTCGTCGCCCTCCCGCTCGATGGCGTCTGCAGGCGCCGGGGGCAGCAGCAGCAGCATGCAGGCATGAGCCTGGTCGGCTGGCTGGGGTGGCAGTCCTGGGGCAGCCCTCCAGCTGGGGCTTCATGCACCACACACAGACACCACACACAGCAACACACACACACACAGAGGCGGTCACCCACCCGAGGCCCCCAGGTCGTCCTGCGCCACAAAGCCCTCCTCCAGGAAGATCTCGCGACCTGCGGGGCCGGGGGGCAGCAAGTGCGCGCGGGCAAGCGGGCATGCGGGGTCGGCGGCAGCAGGCGGCGCCACAGGGCGAGGCACGCGTCAGGCATGCAGGCACGCGCAGGCAGCTCGGCGCAGGCGGCCCCCGCCAGCCCACGCCGCACCCGACAGCCCGCCCTTCTTCTTGCGCTCCGCCTCCGCCTCGGCCGCCTTGGCGCGCTTCGCCGCCTCCTTCTCCTTCACCCAGGTGGCAAAGGTCTGCGGGGCGGGCGGGCACAGCGGGGCAGCGCAGCGCAGGGCAGGTCAGCCAGCCGCCGCGCTCAGGCACCGGGCACCAGGGCAACAGATGCGGCCCGCCGTGCAGCAGCCCCGAGACGCCCCCCAGCGCCCAGCAGCGCCAGCGCCAGCAGCACCAGCGCCACAGCGGGCGGCCTCAGGCAGGCGGGCGCAGCACACACACCTCTACGGTGACGGGCGTCTTGGCGTCCACCTTGGCCCGCTCCTCCTCAATTGCCTCCTCCACAGACACCTTCTGCGGCAGCAGGGGGTGGGGGGGGGGGCAAGGGCGGGGGAGGGGGCGCAGGGGGGCGCGTCAACGGCAGCTCTTTCCC